CGTGCATAGCACCATTGCTGTTGTTGTTATTGTTGCTGTTACCATTGTGCTGACTAAGACCACGTTATCTCCTGGGAGATTACTTGCGTTTTGACCTAAGCTGAACTGAAACACAATGTGCATGAATAACCGGAGTCTCGATTATTTATGCCCTCGAAGTTCATTTGATTATTTTTTCAAAGTTATATGAGGAAAAACGGCAGAAATTATATCAAATTGAAAGAGAAATTCATTGAACAGAAATAATGGACGTGGAAACAGCATGCGGTTTCTTTTCGATTTCTTTTTCATATAAACCCAATACTTTATGTGGCAACCTATTCCTATTTCAGTCGGTTTGAAAAAACATAGAAAAAGATCCCAAGTGGCGCACCGAAATGTTTGCCATCGGTTAGTTCCAACGGACCGTTTATTTGAATGGTTAACTAAAGAGGTGTATAAACCTCGGATAACCTTATATGACCTCAGCATAAAGATTTGCAGTGGATAGTTTTCATCGTAAAAGTTTTCCCCGTAGTCTATTAGGAATCTTGCATCCGACTCTGGACACCTTTGAATTTGAAGATGAAGATAACTTCTCTCATGCGTGAAATAATTAAAGTAGCACGTGTCTGGTTGTAAACCCCGGAATCTCAGTCCGTGATCTAGTCCGTCGAAGAGAGAGACGGTAATAGTAAAACAACAATCAGGGGACAAAGTTAGATTAAAGCTACACAATGCATTATAGAGATAAATTCCAAGAAAACAAATCCACTACATTGGCCTATTGGCGACCTATTGATGACCATCACAGCAATGGGTGATGGATATTTTTCAACAACACTTTCACAACTTCCTATAAATTTTCCTTTCACCTTCTCCAGCCAGCTTGACAGTGATCTCCAGAGGGGTGGGTTGAAGAAAAGACATTCCTGTATCTGCCACGCTATCCGTCTTATTGCGCCATCGTTAGAAATAATCCAAAATAGGACCCTCAAAACACTTTGTTACTTCCACAACTTTCGAGAAACAAAAAACAGTTTCACTGTCTACTCTTAACACTTCGTTTTCACCTCCGCATTCAAGGAGTGTTTTTGTAAAACAGCAACAAATATTGGCTGTATTTTTCAAAGATTATTTTTTTACATTCCGTGACCAGCCGGATCGTTCACAGCTACTTGCGTGTGCCGCGAGTGTTGTTCTCCCGTTTTGTGTCTAGTTTGCAAAACTCCAGTAATTAATCAAACCTCGAGCCCAGGTGGATGAAATGCGCTTCCCAATTGGCATCTGATGAGATACACGCCAATCCCATTGAAGGGGGTTGTGGGAGGCTGGGCAAATAATGCAGTTATTTTTATCCCGTGATAGTCGTAAATTTTACTATGCGACTACTTGGTTCCGCAGAAACACACACACTCACACACAGTTCCACGTTTCGATGATCAGTTTAAGTACGGTTATTTGCTAAAGATAACCCCACCATTTTTCATTAATGAAAATGATAAAAACGACGGATTTGTTTCCATGCTCTTTAACTGCACCACGTTGCAAGGCCCATGAAAAATCATCATCATCAAACGGCAGACAGACTTCATTTGACTCGACTTGCATTTCAACAGTCCAAGGCTGCAGTCAAAAGATCCGTTTCTTTGGAGATAGAAAAGATTAAAAATGAGGCACATTTATCCAATCCTAGACCATAGACAAATAGCATATGAAGTGTGTAGAACCAAGGTGAGGATAGCCATTAGCATTTTCAGGTCAGTATGTTAGGTCTATATAGGTTACGCCTCTGTATTGTTCAGGAACTTGGCAACTGATTGGATTCTACATAAAACTGAACAAGAGGAAGAGGAAGACAGCGCTCGTGTGGACTGAGAATGAAATCCCTGCAATCGGACACATAGACGTGGCATACAGAGGTGTCATCGGAGCTAATCGCAAGGATTGGTACCTGGTCAGAGAGAGTACGCCGTGAGCCCAAACCTCCAGTCGGAAGAAAGTGCTCTAAACCTGCAAAAACGGCACAAGACATGTGGTTCGCCACTGCCTACCTAGTTGGAACTGGTAAAAATGAACCAGTCAGCCGAATTGTGCGTCTCTCGGCTCTGCGGTTGGAAATTTACTGTATAAATAATCGAACCTGTGCGTGACTTGATTCAAAACTTGATCAATCCGTCATTAGACTTGCTGTTCCATTAGGATTCCATTCATCGCCCAGATGTTTCGTGACCGATTACTCGAATTTTGTACGCCTGTCAAATGCTGTTAACATTCTAAACTTGCTCCCACAAGTCACCCCTTGATCGGTTTAGATCCCATTCCAAATTCCGAGTGGTAGTTAATTTATTCCACCAGCACTTTAATCGGACTAGACATCATTTGATAAAATTCCGCAAGAACGGGGCAGACAAAGCGACAAAATTGTGTGGGATTGTTCCAGTCACTCATGCAAATTCGGGCTGTGTGAGCGAAGCCCCAGGAGAAACTTGAGAGTAGTGAGATGGGCACAAGTACGCCTAGACATGCTTCTCGCATTGACTGAATTATCTGAATCGGGTAAAAAATAAAGAGGCCAAATTACAATGTGGTCGTGCGTCCTACGCTTCGTACACAACGCAACTGTTTAGGCACTATGTTCACGAGGGAGCAAGCTTTTCGCACAAACTGACTAACCCTAACAGGGACGCTCGAATCGTTCAACAATTGTTTTTCGTTTTCCATTTGAACAATACTTGCGGAAGGAAAAATAGATTTTTCTCCAGAAAATCATTCGAAAATACTCTGAATTACAAGGTAATCATCTATGGCACAGAATCTATCCAGAAAACAGACGAACTTGGAATGTGTTACGCAGTTTATACTCCCCCACCCCCACAAGCACACACACACACCGCGTAAAGGCGGGTTGAGACCAGCAATGATGGTGGAAACTTGCAGCTTAGAAAATGAATTTGATTTATGAATAAAATAA